GTGCCTAAATCAATTCCAATGACCTGCCCTTGTACTTTTGAACTGTTAAATCAAGGAAAGCATTAAAGAAAAAAAAATAAAAAAAAAAGATCATTATACAAAATATTTTTTTGGTAACATTGCCGAAAATTTGAAAAAATTATCGAACATGCTTTAAAGTACGCGGAATAAAGTTCAGTCTATTAGGCTTTAAAAACTGAAAATGGATTTAAAAAAGAGAGAGAAAAAAAAAGTAAATTTTTGAAATTCATAATTTTTTCATATTACGCGACGGAAACCGAATGAGAAGAATTCATACCGATCTACACCTAACATTCAATGAAGAACGAAAGGGTATACCAAGTCCAAGCCTTGGACTATACATTTTTATTACTTATAGTTGAATGATAAGTAAGTAAAAAAAAAAATGAAAAAAAAGAAAGAATCACGAAATCTGACAAGAAATTTTTGTAATTAGATTATCAGTTGTATTTCTTGAATCACATGATTGCGAAAAAAAAGTTGACGGTCATATGAAGTAGTTATAGGATGACTTTCCTATGATTTAAGAATACAATTTAATAGGACAAAAAGTGACACAGGTTTTTCAAAGAAGTCTTAGTTTAAGGTAGAGTTTAGAAAATTATTTAGTTTTATGAGCTTAGATGTCACTATTATTTTATTAACGATTTTTCTTTAACTATCATAGTACTTATAAAGCATAAATAAATATAAACTAATTATTTAATTGATAATATATCTTAAAGGTAGCAATGGTAATATATTTTTAGCGAAGGCAGTAATGAATTGTTGCATAAAATATAATACGATTAATAGAAGATCAATCATGTAATTATAGTCAACAAGTTTGATTTTACTGTTAAAATTAGGACTCTAGCGTCAGCAATTTAAAAATTTCGCTGAAATAATTTTTTTATCGTTATTTAGATTGAAAGAGTCTAAAGTTGACAAGGAAAACTTTGAAGGCAGTTTCGTTGGTAAAATGCAGATTATCCTGTATTACAACTGATCTTGAAATTTGATTGGGTGTGATAAATCGCTTTAACGTTAGTGTTAGGAAATAAAAGCCCGTTCTTGTCATTTGCCATATTCTGATATTTCAAATCCAAGCAACTTTACATGAAAATATTTTTAGTTTTTGTTATTACTTTAATAAAATACCTTTATAGGATTCAGATAGAATTTCAGACTCTTCCTAAATTTTAGAATCGAAAGATGGCTCTTTTAATATTAAAGTCGAAATCATTGGTAAAATATGGCTCAGTATTTTTGGCAATTAAAAAACATAGTTTGCGAAATATCGTTAGCTGAAAGACAACTTAACAACTAATCGGTTAGACAACTAGTCTATTCCGAAATATTCCGTCTATTTGGGCTAATCCGTGTTGATTTCTTTAATATGATTGGTTAAACAACAATTTAATCACGTGATACGGAAAAGCGATGTATCACTACCCCTGAAACTTAATTGTAGAGTGCTGTCGGAGTTCCAATATTCAAGCACCACTTATGATTAGTAATATATTACTAATCATTCGCGGTGCTTGAATATTGGAACTCCGACATCACAAGATGTCAATTAAATTTCGGTTTCGGAATTTTAACTTTTTGTTCTAATTTAAAATAAAAAAAAGCAATTGACTAATGTTGTGTCTAGTAACTCTCAAATTAGTTTTGCGGGTTTCTATAATTTTAAGTTTATATTTCTATAAATCTGCAGAAATTACAATTAAAAGTATACGCGAGTATAAACAAAGTACGTTGTAAAAAATAAGAAGCATTTTCTACATAGATCATATAACTTTGTCATCGATAAATATCCTCAATATATAAGCAGGTACTATTAGTAAAATTAATTCACTTCGAGTATCGCCACTTTTACTTGTGGTAAAATTGGAAGCATTAGTAATACCACTAACATAACCGTCATCATCACGCAAAAATAAATACACGCTTTTTATTTTCATTACGAAGTTAACCATCTTTTTTTTTAAACTGTAGTTCAAAGGATTACTGTAATAAACAATAAGATTAACAACATAAATTTAATAATTTTTCAATTTCAGCCACTATGAAGTGTAATGACCGTTATAATTAAGATATTAATATTATGTTTGAATAATAATTAATAATTCGTCAATTAGATCAACATAATAAATTATTCGATGTAATTATACGTAATCACAGATCTTTATTTTTAACAAAATTTATATATGGAAATAAACAAAAAATAATATTGCCAATTTTTGAACTATTCCTGTTAGATTCAGTGCAGACGGTCACTTCCCCAGTGAATATTAAGTACGGATCTCCATGTCGTTTTAACGATCTTGCTATTGCTCCGATGGTGCGCGGCACAATACCTTCAAACAAAACTTTCTCTCCCATAGTAATTTTAATAGGAGAGTCCATATCTACCATGGTGTCGTTTAAAAGAATTGTTACTTGTTTATAATCTTTAGTCTGAATGTCAAAATTTTGACCATCACGTGTAGCAGTTACTTTGGTATGCTCACGAATTTGATTCTCTGGAAGTTCCAACCAAAAAAATCGATCATGCGTAACAGAATCTTGCCACCAGACCACGCGATCAGGTATGGGATTTCGAGTATACTGTGTCATCCAGTTTAGTGCAGCTTTTTCCTTGCGTTTCAAATCATGTCCCATATTCTTATAAATTTCTACCCAATGAATATAACCATTAGGATCTTCATTTTGGAGGTTTACAAATTCGTCTGCCCATTCCTGCGCAACCTCGTTTCGATTGTAGCTAAAATCTTTAGCTCCTGCATGAATTGTGAATGGTGTATTACGCAAACCTAACGGTGACGCATCGTTAGGATGTCCCGCATTCGCGTTTGCAGCTGCCCATCGATCTGCTGTTCGTGGAACAAGTTTATATACGCCATCACCACCCGCCGAATACCCTGTCAAATATACTTTGTTTGGATTTACTCCTTCAAAAATAACCATGTTCTCAATAATTCGGTCAAACATATGATCAATTTCTGGTCGATGCCACAAGTCCCAAGTATTGCCAGGAGCTCGGGGCGCTAAGTAAACACCCTCCTCGATAGTATATAGCTCTTTTTGATTTTCCCATTGTGAATCATTTATATAAGGTTCAGTGTTACCACCCCCATGAAGCGAAATAAATAAACTCTTTTCACCAAACGGCTTTGAACCGAATGTTTTGAACCATATAGGCAT